TTCTTCATCAGGGCATAGGGGGCGGTCAAACCCCCTGGCCTTTAGAGGCCCCCCCACTGTTTGGGGATTTCTTTGAGGGAGTGTGAAAAGACGGTTGTGTTGGGTCCCCCTGTCTAGACTACATTTGCCATGTATAAGTAGGAGCCTCGAATCTGCATATTGACCCTGCGAGGGGACTTCACACATTCCGTGGCTCGAAAACCATGCAACTGTACGGGCACCATTATGTTACACAGCATCCCCCTGTGCTTCAAGCTTTCAACAAAGAAGACAGCTAGCGAGTACAATAAAGTTACAAGACTCTATTTGCACAGGTGAGCATTCAAGGAGGTTGATGTCACCTCCGCTCTTTCTCTCTGTCTTTCTTGCTTCCTTCGATTATTTCATTTGTTTAAAGTTATGTCCTTCTTTCTTGTTTTCTGCATTTAGTTCGTTCTGTCCCTGCCTTCGACAATTTGAAGGGAAACGAAAACCATACCGCCCCTCACCAAAAAAGCAAGTGCCAAAACTGAAAAAGACAAAGTCAAGATATAACTGCAAGGGAGTGATGACGCTTCGGGACCTAAAAGCCTATGCATTAGTGCACGACACATTGCTGGGTTCAGCACTCTATGATAACAACAGGACTTAATCTTGAAAATGTGTCGGAAGCCTGAATGTATCAAGTTCGTCAATTGACCAACTGAGCAGATGTAAGGACAACACTGTCCATAGGAGACAGCAGAACAGACTGAACAACAGACCTATATACAAGTAGTTTCCAATTGGGCGGCAGGGAACCATTCCTGACGAGAGGGGCGAGTCTCTACGAGACCTTCATCGCTGTGCAAACTCGGCTGGAAACATTCTTTTGGTTGTTTGTTAGGTAGTTGACAACAACCGAAAGAGGGACGCCTGGTCTTGTCTGGCTTCAAAGAGGCATCGTGGTACGAAGTGGACTGTGTTCTGGATGAATACTGTGACGGTCACGAAATACCAAATTTGAAGTGGCCTGCACGATGTGAGGCAGAGCTTCAACTCATCTACTGCAATCAGCACAACCCAAGTCCCAAAGATAGTAACTCAAGCGAAGAACTCACGAGATAAGACTATATAGTCGGGGGTATTCTTGCTCGAGTTTCGAGCAAAATCAGATAGGACAAGGCTAACGAGATAAAGGGAAAGAGGGCAACAGTGGCTCAATTCACAGGATTGGGTAGAGGAAGGGGAGGTGTGTTTGCTGTCCCGAACTACAATATGGTCTCCGTTTTGGGGAGAGAGCTGGCACGTCCACATAATCTAGTGAGGAACGAGTAGCGGAAAAGGTGACGCAGTCGAAGGCCTTCGTCCAATCAAGAAAAACGACGCAACAAGCTGCGACTTGCTTCTCGCGTACTTCCAGGAATCTTATGAAGGCGTGCTAGGCTGGGTGACTGATCTCTTAGTGCGGAGACAGGGCAACCTTACAGTGTCTTACGGATATGGTTGTGAAAATGGCGAGCGCGGCGCTTTCGTGTAAGAGAGGTGTAGACTTCGTGCATCGTGCTGGTGACAGTGATGGGACGATAATTCAAGGCTTTGGTATCTTTGAGTCTTGGCCGACATTACCACTTCGGAGTGAAGCCAGGAAGAACAACCCTACCTGTCTTGACGCGGTGATAGTGGTCTAAGACAAAGAGTTTGAAGATGAACAAGGCATCGGCAGCGTGCCAGGTGCTGTTTCGGGAGTGGGTGATGCTTTCCAAATCTGATTGAACAGATAGATAGTCAGCAGAAGTGCTGGCTGTCCTGTGGTATGGATGAAGTCGATGGCCGATAAAAGACACACAAAAATCTTCGTGGAGGTTGTCTAAGATAAACCGTTTGCTTGTCTCTGCGAGCTCTTCGGTTTTGCTGAGTTTCACTTCCGCCTCAATGAGCTGATCGGAACCTTGAAGGACCCAACTACTTCCAAATTGGAAAGGGGAGATCCAAGATGATTAGCGGAGACTGGCAATGGGGCATCAGAGTGTATGTCTGTTGATAAGGTCCAAAGAAAAAGCCATTTTGGGTGTTCGGGGAACGAGAAAGCCATTAATGAGAGCTATAACCAACATCATTTCGGTTGTAGGAGTATCTGCGAGGTCATTGCCCATTATACTCGAATGCCCTGGGACTTAGTCTAGAGACGCTGAAAGAATCGTACGGAGAGCAGCGTAATATCGCTGGGCGTGAGCAATCAACTTCTGCGCGGGTTCTGAAGGCGGTCTCCGAAAATTAGCATGTGCCTGATGACCGGAATGGTCGAGCAATTTGGAGTTATAGAGCAAGTGCCAGTAGTTGAACAGCTCTACTAGGGCCTACTAGGGCCTTGAGGTATAGGCAGCTGCATAAATAGGAAAAGGATCGTATTGGAGTGTTCGAGGGGAAGTGGTTGTCAGATTGTTGCAGGAGGTCACGCTTCAAGACCTGATAAGACTCGCATCTGTGCGAGTAATCTTTGAGATCTTCTTGTATGGGGCGGGAAAACGTGGGGTATGAGTCTTGTAAAGTCAGGGGAGGCACCGGGTATGTGCCGTTTGTTGAGAAAGAGAACCGCTTTAAGTATGGATGGAGGGTGTGAAGTAAATGGTCTAATGGGCCCAAGTCTCAGGAGTACGGGAATCTATGAAAGGCTCTGCACGGGTCCCTTTCGCCAGTGGCAACTGTACGTGGGAGGGGCATGGAGAAGAGGATTTCGTCTGAATTCAGTGCTTCATGCCGACCCCGAGCATGTTCGCCCATTTACGGAGCATGCATTAGAATCGTATAGAAGCATAAGGGGATGTGCGTCGGAACGGTCACGAAACGTCGTGTCTAAAGGCATCCCAGCATTCCTGCTTACGCGGGCGATCCTCATTTGTGCCCGGTACCTGGCCATTGGCATACCATAAACTGTAAGTAACCTTCTGGCCGAGTGGAAAGATGTAGTAGGGAACTTTGAACGACGCAGGGAGAATATGCCAAGAGGTTCGGCAAATAGGAAACCTATTCCGTTGTCTGCCTGCAGGTGAGCTACAGTGTACGTAGTACTTCCCTGAACAGCCACGAGGTACATGGCATGGGACTTGGCAAATCTAAAGCGTTTATCACATTTTGCCACCTCCCTGAGTCCTTCGGCAAAGCACACAGTCCAATCAACAGGAAAGCTCGATTCAAGGTACTTTTGTGAACCAACGGATGCAAGCATGGCACTTGCACCTGGTCACATTTCCAGCATCAGGGTCTGGAAACCTCGACTGCATCACCGAAAACTTGAGAAAACACTTCGACTTTGTCTGAGGACACCGCATCCGCGCATCGAGGATGACCTCTGACGGGAACTTCCTCAGCAGTGCACAAGTGTGCACAAACTGTACTGGCCCAAGGTGTTAAGCCTCAAACCTGCGAGTCAGGGCTTCGTTCAGCTCCTCGTCGCTTGCTCGGTAAGCCGCACCTCCACCTGGCAAGTCTTGCAGTGATACGTCACTGGCAGTTGCAGCTTAAATGTTAATGCTGTGCTTTCTCACATCGGGCGGAAGGGAGTGTCTTGCTAACATGACCGACCGAGAACGTACAAGTGCAGCACGCAATGCTGTATTTAGTGCATCCTTATTAAAGCTGCGTTCCACTCGCAGGCGCTTCGAAAGAAAAGAACTGCAAACGTTTGCTGAAGCACCACACGAGCCCGGGCAGAGTGACCAATTGGAATTCACACCGTCTAATTCATTTGGGAAGCTCTTTCTAGACTGCACAAGGTGGGGCCCCTTTCTGAGTGCCTGGGTGCTCGTAGCACTTGGAGCAAAGGTCTCCATCCAGGGTTTCCAGCCCGAATGTGGCCTCGATCAAGATACTGATTGTCTTGAGCTGATACTTTTACATGCGGTACTCAATGGAACGCGGCTGACATGCTCTGCGGAGACTTTCGGGTACTGGGCGCCTCGCTAAGGCAATCCGACCCAGCGAACCACCTCCTGCAGCGTCGGCATCGCTGATCTGAACAACGTCCTGACGTGTGAACAGGAGACGACACTCTATCACACATCAATCACGACAAAATGTATGAGCCTGCTGTGGGAGAGCACCTCCTGTTTGTGCAGCACCTGCATGATAAGACAGGTGCTGCAACATGAATTTCAATGCTGTAGTCTTCAGCCTTTCAATGGACCTCTTACATATCCTCGCAGAATCCTTTTTGCTTCCGCTTCTACGTGGCTGCATCCGAAGGCTTGGAGACCCGGACAGTTCGATTGTCTAGCTGCACCTAGCTCGCCTGGTGTTGTCATAGATCATAGATGCCATCAGCTACAACCTCCGCCGCCGACCTTCTCCACTTCTTTGGAAAGCCTGTTGGTCACGGATGGTCGAGGTCCTGTGCCCAGTGCCATGTCTCGGCCAGCTGCGTCACCCTTGGTGATCTCCGGGCTGCCCTGATTCTAGAGATGTTCGGTCGTTCACATCATTCATGTTTGATGCGCCGTCCAGCCTCACAGCTTGATCCATGTCTCGCCATTATTCCACAAAATGGCAGCCTGTGCCTCCAAAGAAACGTGGCCAATGAAGCACTGACCGTTCATCTGTAGACTTACGAGATTTGGCCCTTCTTCTACCAAGAAGTGCACCGTGTCTCTGAGCTGGGATTCGGGATCGAAGAAGACCTCGGAGTTCCAGACGTGGCACAGAGGCCGCAAGCTACTCTTCAAGAACCATCGTCCGTCCAAAGACTTCAGCAAGGTGGATTTTGATGGTGGTAACACTGGCACTGCAGGAACAACATCGTCTGCCAGGTCAAGAGGCACCAAAGACAGGGAGCCACCAGTCTCCACAACCCCTACCGGAACAAGGTTGAAGTTGGTTTCGTCCTCGTTCTCGCAGCAGCATCGGCAGGCCGGTACTGTTGGGACGCTGCCCATAGCTCGAATGTCGGCCCGATGGCATATCGTTGGAGTCTTGAGGCTGCGAGACAACCACGAAGAGTCACGAAGTCGACAAGACAGGAGAGCCCTTAAAAGCAAGCAACGAAAGGCCTGGCTGTCTTCCAGCACGTTGTCCGGAAACCTGCAGATGCCGGTGCTCCCCGCGAGTCACCCAAACAACAGCAGAAGGCTGTGGCAGATTTTGCGATGGCCAAGCAGTCCTTCAATGGACACGGCTCCGATGGAGGAGGTGGCGGTGGAAGTTTAGTAGCCTCGCAAGGAGGTGCTGCTAGACATCCTTTTAGAGACACTGATTTCCTCACGCCTTGGGCTCCAGGGCCGGACCGCCCCGGCACTCTGCAACCGCTGGCGCTGGTGCCTTAGTGCACGGCTCAGATGACGAGGCTCCTCTGCCACGTTTAGAAATCCTGCAACTCGCAAGAGCTGCATCGGACATCTCACGTTATTGCTCCACTACTGCGGCTGCGGTCTGGAGTGTCCGATGCAGGATATCGCAACGATGCAGCTCCAAATAAGGCCCAGGCAGGTTCAACATGTGAAGCCCTGGCCAAAGTGTTCGGTGAGTGCCGTCTCTCTGCATGAACCCAACATGTGTGAGAAAAATGCTCGAACCTCGGTGGTGGTCGCGATGGTTTCGGTGGGAGCCCCTTACATCGGTTGTGCGAGCCCCACATTTCCAAGCTCTCAAACAGCTGCAGAATGCGGGGATGCAGGCTAAATCAATGCCGAGCCTTGGAAGCATCAGGCGAGGTCATCTTGACCTTATGTCCCTTATACGTGAAACCACTTCTGCATTCTGTAGGCGCTTCTACTTTTGAACTGAGCCATCCACAACAGAGGCAGTGGGCGGTGGCGATGGTGGTGGAGGGGGAGGCTCCTTCCCAAGTCAAGCCAGAGGCCCTAGGCTCTAGGCAGTCGACAAGCGAGAACTCCTGGGAAGCATCTGCATTGAGATTTGATGTAGGCATCCATCCGCTAACACCTTTCTTGACTTTGACCTGGCGGGCTGCCGGCGTGACTCTCATCTCGCTCTCTTCCCTTCCGGCCTTGACCCACTTGCCCTCGTACTGCTCAACCTTTGCACTGAGCAAGGCCAGAACATGACGTTTCTGGCCCTCTCCGCAGCACGAGCGCCTGGACGACCATCCCTTTAGTAATTGTGACCTGGCGAACACAACCGCCATTCACGCTCGCACGTTCACAAATTCACACGCATCAAGAAGCAAGTGCCTTGCTTGTCTCGTACGACGCATACTGCGACTGGCGCTCCTGGACGGAGCAACGCCCTGATCAGATCTGCAACGCAGGAAAATATGGAGCCAGTACAACGTGACCAAAGCTTGATGTTGCCCCTTTAGTTCCCCCCGTGGAGAAAGCTTGTGCCGCCGATACAGGTCCTGTTTCGATGCCCACACTTCAAGGTGCAGTATCTTTCAGCTGTGAGGAACAACCCCTTTTCCATTATCCACAAAGAAAATAATGATGCCTGATGAGGACTGAATGCAGACAAGGTCCAGGAGACTTGTCGCTTGATGCGTGCCAAAAAATGCTCTTTGCCCAACCGCTCCAAATCGCCCCCCCCCCCCCATATGCGCTTTGGCTGCCTGGGTCTCGATTTGACCCTGCTCTGTCCTTCGCCGTCCAAACGCTTAGGGCTTAGGGATTAAGAATACATCCACATTTCTCCCACAGATCCGCGAGAACACATTGGTCTGGGCTGGCCTCCTGTCAAGCTTTCCCTGGATCTCCAAGGCCAAGAAGGTGGCATGATTCACAAATCTTGGAAGTTTGTTTTCATTACGAGTCTCCCCGAAAAGGTTTTCCGTTGCGAATCTTGCTGACATCTTGGACTCGAAGGTGCGCGGAGAGACTGACCCCAGACGGCTGACAGAGATGTGACAGGGATCAAGATTTACAGCTCCATTGGGTCCAGGATGGCAGCACATGCACAGACATGGGCAGCATCATAGCTGCACCAAATGCCCATTATGGATCCCATCCCAAGTCACAAAAACGAAATACTGTCCGGAGCGATGTTTGGGAACGGGAGCAAGTCGGTGTCTTGGAGGAGGGCGTGCCACGGCCTCGCAAGACGTGCCGGTCGTCGGACGATTGAACGGCTCGGTGCAGTTTTGCAATGCCGCAGGCAAGGCTGGAAACCCCGTCCAGCGATCTTGCAAATCCCAGCCAAAGCCGGAAAACTGGATGCAAATGTGCCTTCCAGTCTTAAACAGAGAACACTAGCAGCCAGGTGCTCTGTACAGGAAGACATTTGCACAAGGCAGGCATCTACTGCCTGAGTGGATTCCGATGGCCAGGGAACTCTTCTCGAAGAATGGTCTGGGCTACAAGTGTTTGATGACTGTCCGCAACTCGATGACGTTACACCGAATCGTGGCCGTAAGTTATCCCCCAGCTGCTCAACAAATGACATTTTGGAAAGTGCATACCCGCACTAAAAAAGCGTGACAGCACATCTCCTACGAGTGAAACTCGGGGCAACAGCAACGACACCTGGGACTTTGGTCTCGATATGCATAGATTTCAGTTGCCGCAAAGCCGCCCCTCATGAAAACAGACCTCCACAAAAGAACTGCTCTTCAGCAATCTGCAAGAGGCTGCAGAAGCTCTGGCCTCCTCTCTGACCTTCTCCACAATGTGCTCCGCGCCGCGAATGTCCTGCATGATCTCTGCAGCACAGTGATATAAGTGATATATCACTGACATCACTCTTGGCTGAGCCCCAAACATCCAGAAGCAGACGGCGCCTGCGGCGAACATGTGTTCTGACATGGACCCCTCGCAAATGCCATGTCGTTCTTGAAATCCGTGTCTCTGCCGAGATGTGCAGATGTGCTGAGTCTTTGGCCAAAGCGCTTCTGCTGCTGCAGAACAAAGAAACTCAAGCTCCCAGCTGTGTGCATCTTGCGCCTGGCGAGAAGGAACGACTTCAGAACAGAGTCACCACTGTCAAACTTCCTGGCGGAGCAATTCTAGGACGCGGCACAGTGCCATGCCCTCCAACATCCTCCAAGCATGTCGGGCAATCGGCTGCTGTGCTTTCCAACGAGAAGTCCAAACCTTCCAGTCACATACGAAGCAAAACACACTCAACATCTCGGCCCGTTGCTAAGCTCTCTGCTGTAGTCGGAGGCACTCCTGGAGTGACTTGTGCATTCCATGGCCTCGGGAGAACTCAATCCGACAGCCCGCTCCATCCAGCGCCCCGCAGCCCGGCCTGGCTACATGGGGCACGCTGCCCCTCGCCGCAGACACCTGCAGGTTGCACGAAAAGTGGATGCAAGCTTGCATGCCTTTTCGTGTCTCCGAGCCCCGAGCCTCCTGTAGATCGAACCGAAGTACTTGCCGTGCTGCAGTTGCTGCTCAAGCCGTGCTGTCCTCAACTCGTGGGTTAGCAATCAAGTAAGATAACGAAGCAATGGGCAAAAGATCAGGCTGAGGCTGCTGCTCTCCGGTGGCGTGTCAGATCCGGTGGCCTTCTGTGTCGGGAAGCCCTGGCATGTGAATCAGAATCGCATGCACTCTCAAGTACTGCCAGCTCACGGGCCTCTAAAGTTGCCCACAAGTCCATCTGCTCGACCTTGCGACGAGACATCAAAGCTCATGGCTCTTGCCCGTATGCAGCTTAGCGATTCTGCAGAAGGCTACCTCAAACTGGAATGGCATCGGGGCAGTGGTCTTAGATGTCGGCGGAAGACATTGCATGCTCTAGGCTCTTGACATCATATCCTTATCCCTTTAACATGCTGCAACCACAAGGTCACCTGCGCGCAGAGGTTCGCTGTCTCACGCTGCAATAAAGCAATGGAGCACCTACATCGCAGTTGTTCAGCAAGGGCAGGGCACAAAAGAAGGGGAACCACAGCGCCGAGCGAGCCTCTGGTTGGAATGTCGCACAGCTCGTGCTAGGGCTTCAAGGCTGGGAAAGAGCTGGCGATGGTCTTGCAGCCTGCAACGCTGATTTCAGCATCTTCGCACGTTGCACTCTCCGTTGACCTCGCCAGACCATTGAAGAGCTCAAGAGCATCTGTGGTATCTCGGGCTTCCCGATCATCTCTATCCTCAACATGGCTCTGGCAGTTACCAAAGCCGAGTAAAGCTGATACTGATGTTGAATCGCTTAGCCAGCCAGATCGTTATGCGCACTAAAAAAAGAATCGGCTGGCTAGCCGCGACTTGTGCGAGAAAATACACACTGGCTAAACAAACTGACTGTGTTCCGAGACAAGCTCCTGCTGGACGAGCTCCTGATCCGGGACTCTCTCTTCGACCTGAATCTGGCCCAAGGTTGTCTGTGAGCCGTGCCCCGGGGCTCATGACTCAGGGCCAGTGCGCTGCCCGATGAGAACCATCCGAAAACGTCAAAGCTGCTGAAATCCTCGTCGCCACGTACGATGGAAAAGCTTTGAGACATCCCTTTTGTGCGGACACCATCGACTGGACTCTGAGTCTGCCACCCAGTCCCATTCCACGTGCCTTGCACTTGACGCGCAAGACCGCTCACACTTCTGGCTGCACTGCGCTGCACTTCGCAGCCCTTTGCTGCAGAGCTGCTCGGCCATCGGAGGCAACCTTTCTCTACATGCCTCGGCCCGCGGCAGTGACTGCTCGTCTTCCCCGCGACGTTGCTGCACTCACCGACACGGGATGATCATTCAAGCCTCCGACCCTCTTCCTGCGTTCGGCGGCCTGTCCGTGGAACAAAAACGAAGTTGACCCCACCAACCTTCATGCATAGCCTGACATTCACGTCCTGAAAACTATGATAGTCGAAGGCCGTAAGACGGTTGCACGATTAAGGCAAAAATGCAAAGTAACATTGTCTCAAGCTGAGGAGGTGAGTATCAGGATCTCATATCTCGAGCAACATATGCTGAAGGCTTGACGGACCAAACTACACATTGTCTCTGGAGGACCAAGCAGATGCATGTTTGAAGGGCGTTGTTGCCGGTTGCCTGTCGGCATATTGGACATGGCATGAGAGCGTGCCTGCACGACCTGCACGTATTGGCGGCTCTGGATACTCAAGCACACTCCAAGGTGCTTGAGTGGATTGTCCTCTGCAGCGCTTTGCGGCAAGTGCTGCCCACTCTCGAAATCTAAGGCACGGCAATTTAACAACACCACGCAGCACTCATCAAAGATCGCAGCTAGAATGCTTGATGGCCTGCGGCGATTCCATGCGGCTGCCTCAAATCTTACAGTGGGCACATCAAACGGGCGTCCGACTATGCTGATACCGTCAACACATATCACACCACAAGTCTTTTCACACGTTGCATCTGCCTGGCAAAACCTATATCGATTGCCCGACTGAGACAAACCAAGCAGTCTGAGCAACAAGCTGAAACATGCGCTGTACCAACTTGGAATACAGCGTCCAGATCTGCTCGCACGAAGTAAGCAGACTACCCCTACAAGGAAAGCTGATGCTTAAACATAGGGATGAGAACGTTCATCAGGGCATGAGAAAGGTGTTGGCGACTTGAGCCTTATGCTCTCGGCGTTCGCCACTTCGTATCGGAGGCAACGAGCGTTGTTTCTCTGAAGCAGGAGGCGAAGCGAAGCAAAAAGCAAAGCGGCCTGGGCTCGGTCTGGTCCGAATGAGATTTCCACTTATCGACACTTTCCAGGTGGAGCCAACCTGCTTTCACAGCCACACCAACATTGGCCACGCCGCAGCCTGCAGCCTCCAGCCGACTTCCTGGCCTCGCTGTTTATCTGGGCCCTCAGCAAAAATCCTGACTCGTTCATGTAAACGAACTCAGCACGGCGATCCGGACAAACGACTGTGTCTTTGACAACACGAGATGGATGTCTTGCGCTGTGTAAGTCACAGACCAATTTCTCTCATCTTCGTTGTCCTCACGCCCCCAATGTTTCACCTGTGGGGTATGCACAACTTCCACGTCAGCACACATCAGCTAGGATAGAACAGGTGGCCGGACACAGGCAATTGCATGTGGGTGCTGCTTAACGGCCAACTGGCCTCTACAGCGTCGCCACTGCAACATTTCAGCTGAATGACGTCGTAAATCGCGGGCCGCAAGTTCGGCCTTGCCGCTGCGATGAAGCAACCCTGTCGAAACAACACTAACAGTCACTAATATTCGAGGCAATGGCCCCACAGTTACCTTGTCTCCGACTCGGCGGTCGAGCTTGACGAGTTTTGTGTCGAGCCAGCCCTGATCAGCACTAGCATACAGCAGCCGTCGTTCCCGTCACTGCTGACAACACTCCATTGACCAGGGAGTTGTGCAAACTCCAAAACCAAGTAGTTGACATGACACTCCAAACACAACCTCCTTCTCATCGCGCTTGTTGCTGTCATCTTCCACAAGTCGTTGGACGTAAATCCATCCAGCTTCGTCCTCGCCACAATGCCAGACAGCTTCGTTGCAAAGCTTCTGTCGGTGAAAAAGAATTGTGACAAGTTCTTGCTCCTCGACGTCGTGCCTTCCCACATAGAGAACCTGCGAGCTGTGCCCCGTCGCGCTGATCTCGCGAGCTCTGTTCACACGCAACCAACCTTGACCTTCTCATCTTGTCTGGCGGCCAAATAGCCTGCAAAGCAAAACCGCATGTCCTTGCGTATAGCACTTGACAACAGTGCTCGTGCCTGATTCATGAGACACACTTGGCTCGATCAAGGTAACGGCCTGCATCGAGCTCAACACTGAAGACACAACGATAGAGGCCGAAAGATCCCTCGCAAGCGTGCAGCGCCGCTGAAACAATCAGAGATGTGCCTCTCCCGGCAACAATATGGCCGGCAGCATTACTTGCCCAACACATGGGCACAAGCGATGAAGTTGCAATCCTTGTGAACGTCTATGAATCTGTTGCCTTGGCCAGCATGCAGATGTGGTAGCTTAGCTGCGAAAATTGGGCTAATGAGACATGTTGTCCAGTGTGCTAACTGTACATGGTAGCATGACACACATCGCACGCCATCGGAACACAAACATGACATGTATGCACACACACACATACATACCAAGACGACACACACGGGGAGGTCGATTCGAAGGCAGTTTTGAAAATGTGGCAACACTCGTGGTATGCAAGGACATAACACACAAACTGGAAAACAGTGTCAGTCCACAAGCAGTTCATACCTGGTAAAGACCAGCAACAGACTACTACATGTTTGCGTCCAGTCATTGTAAAATTCAACTTCCAATTCCGCACAATCAATCTTGCACTGGGCCAAAGTGACCACAGGACTGGCATGGCTGTCAGTGCAGTTGTTGTACATTGTCACAAAACAAAGCGCGCAAGTGTAAATTTCTTCCATGTCATCTTTGAGCTCTATGCCAGCTACGGCCTGATAGTGGCCAAGGATCAATATTCTTTGTTTTTGCAATGAGGCGATGTCAACTTCAAACGTTTTCAACCCATGCACAAAGACAGAACATCTTTGGCAATCTTGCGCTGTTTGTAGACCAGATTCAAGCAAATGCAACCTATTTTTTCAAACGTAAGCTTACAAATAGCATGTTCTGATAGATTGTTGGAAGTTGGATTTTTAAAACCGTTGCCAACTACAGGACAACTTGAGAATTGTTTCTATCTGCTTCTAGGCGGAAGCCAACAACTCTATTACATTCAGGTTGCGTTAGTTTCCGAGGGACCTCTAGGGAGCCTCAGGGCCTCACTTAACAGCAAACAGCCAAAGCAGGCACGCTCCACACTTTTCCTCGCTGCTGTTCTTCAGCAGTCCGAGTCTTGAGCCAAAGCCGGGCACGGCTTGAGGCTTCA